AACACACACAAACACACACAAACACACACACAAACACACACAAACACACAAAAACACACAAAACCACACAAACACACACACAAACACACACAAACACACACACACACACAAAAACACACAAAAACACACAACAACACACAAAAACACACACAAAAAACACACAAAAACACACAAACACACAAACACACAAACACACAAACACACAAACACACAAACACACAAACACACAAACACACAACACACAAACACACAAACACACAAACACACAAACACACAAACACACAAACACACAAACACACAAACACACAAACACACAAACACACAAACACACAAACACACAAAACCACAAACACACAAACACACAAACACACAAACACACAAACACACAAACACACAAACACACAAACACACAAACACACAAACTCACAAACACACAAACTCACAAACACACAAACACACAAACACACAAACACACAAACACACAAACACACAAACACACAAACACACAAACACACAAACACACAAACACACAAACACACAAACACACAAACACACAAACACACAAACACACAAACACACCAAAACACAAACACACAAACACACAAACACACAAACACACAAACACACAAACACACAAACACACAAACACACAAACACACAAACACACAAACACACAAACCCACAAACACACAAACACACAAACACACAAACACACAAACACACAAACACACAAACTCACAAACTCACAAACACACAAACACACAAACACACAAACACACAAACACACAAACACACAAACACACAAACACACAAACACACAAACACACAAACACACAAACACACAAACACACAAACACACAAACACACAAACACACAAACACACAAACACACAAAAACACAAAAACACAAAAACACAAAAACACAAAAACACAAAAACACAAAAACACACAAACACACAAACACACAAACACACAAACACACAAACACACAAACACACAAACACACAAACACACAAACACACACACACACACACACACACACACACACACACACACACACACACACACACACACACACACACACACACACACACACACACACACACACACACACACACACACACCAAAACACACACACACACACACACACACACACACACACACACACACACACACACACACACACACACACACACACACACACACACACACACACACACACACACACACACACACACACACACACACACACACACACACCCACACACCCACCCACCCACCCACCCACCCACCCACCCACGCACGCACGCACGCACGCACGCACGCACGCACGCACGCACGCACGCACGCACGCCCGCGCGCGCGCGCACCCGCACCCGCACCCGCACCCGCGCACCCACACACACACACACACCCCACACACCACACACCACACACCACACACCACACACCACACACCACACACCACACACCACACACCACACACCACACACACACACACACCACACACCACACACCACACACCACACACCACACACCACACACCACACACCACACAACACACACCACACACCACACACCACACACCACACACCACACACCACACACCACACACCACACACCACACACCACACACCACACACCACACACCACACAACACACCACACACAACACACAACACACAACACACAACACACAACACACAACACACAACACACACAACAAAACGCTGAACCTCTTGCACTTCCCAAACCCCAACTAATTCGGCTGAAGACCCGAGCGCGCAACCTGCCGTACATGCTTTCCGTCGGACTTATGACTGCAAGCTTCCTACAAGCAATGGACAACCACAGGGTCAAAAGCTCGGCCTTGGGGGAGCGGGTTGCGCGACTGCGCGAAGAACGACTTTGAGTTTCAGGCGACTTAGGAAGTGCTGGGAACAACACCTCTCAGGAACTTCGCAAAGCCCAGCATGCCGTTTGGGCCGTAGCCGCGGTGCAGCCACCCACTGAAAGGCTCATCCAGGCAAGCTACAGTGCTCGCTCATCTTCTGTTACAATCTGCATTCGGCTTTGTCGCTCGGACTCCTGCCAATTTCACCTTTGGGAGACGTTTTTTTTGGAGGCGCGGTACCCTGTTTCAGGTTGGTTCCAGCCCCCCCCCTCAAGATCAACAAGCGATGACAAAGCGGCAACTAGAGCAATGCGCTCTGTGTTCAGGACTGGACGTCACGGAGTAGCCACCAGCCCTTGCTGATATTGGGCTCCAAAACCCTGAGGCAACAAGCCAAGCAAATGCAAGTGGAGGTGCTGCTTGCTATGGGCAAACAAACGAAAATAGCAGCAACCTTTGTCAGCTTGCTCTTGTTTCAGCTAGTTTCCCCTGAAGGGTTGATGTGCCCCACCAGCCACCCGTACCGGCTACACAGCTACACACATCCAACATTTGAAAGGGGTGCCGTTGCGTATTGCGTTTGAAGGGGTTGGGATCTAAGAAGGGCCACCTTGTCTCCTTGTTGTTAGCCCCTGCAACTCTTTCGCGCGTGCATCTCAAGCCTAAAGGAAGTTGGACTTCCATGGTTGTGTTAGTCCACGTGCCCGCTGATGTTCGTTCTTCCCTCTTGGGACCAGGCGTTGCGCGCACGGGTGGGCGAGATCTCCGGGTTGCTGAGGCCAAGGATTACAACCTGAGCCGAGTCAAAATCTTTGTCTTTGGACATTGCGACAGTTTGGATACGGATCCCTACGCTTAGAATGCCCTATGCGGGTGATTTCCATGGATCTGTGTGGATTCAAATAAGTCCAGCAACCCGTGGGTGGTTCGAAACGATGTCGGCTACAAAGCAAGACTGTGTTATGCCCCAAGTAGCCGCTCGGACCAAACCTGAAGCTGTGCTTTACGAAGGAGCCAGAATACCAGCAAAGAAATCCCCGAAGCGTTTCTCCGGGTCAGTTGGTACCTAGCTTACTCCTTGACAAAGCAACACCTGGTTGCCGCAGAATGAGACATGTGGCAATTGCGCCGACTTTCACCATGCCTGGCCTTGCATGGTTCAAGGCTCGACAAAGGGAGTGTCCTGTGATCACATCAACTTACTTTCAGTTACTCAGGGCAGTGCACAGCCCGGCCTTATTTGCAATAGAGTGCCATGTGGTACAATTCCAGGCGGAAATAGCTTTGCTCCTCATCTGCCCACAAGAAACCAACGATCTGCTACCATTTGCGATCTCGCTGTTCTGCAAAACATCTTGGCACTCTCGCCAAGCTAAAGCTGCTTCAGCACCGAACTTCAGCACCGAACGGCATGGTTGCCTGCATCCCCTTGCAAAACTAACGCAGGACCAAAAAACGGTTCCCAGAAAAGGAGATTCCTCTCGGTGTTTCAACTGGGCCCTGGGAATGTCCAGAGACTGGAAGCCGCTTTGTGCCCCAACACCTCCACTTGGCGCATCCGCAGGACTCAGGCTTCAAGACCCTGGGCTTTGTGAGGTGCCAACGGAGGTCAATGGAATATCTGCACCGATTGGAATATCTGCGAAACGCCCCGCACCGATATACATGCATAACGTGTGTTTTAATGTGTACATGTGCATGTTTGGTTGACATTTGCAAACCTACAAATGTACAGTGCACGCATATTCATGTGAATACAGAAGGCTGCTGCCAATAGTTCGATGCAACACATCCCTTCAACGTAGGCTACGTATCTTCTCGGCTGCTTTCTGCTCCCCTGCTAAACGTTTACCTTTTAGTGGTTTAATGGAAAACCCATGAGTCGGCAAAAAGTTAAAGTCCTAACATCCAAGCAACAAGCACCAAAGTCTTGATGCGCCGCTTGCACAGCACAGCCAACCGGCACACAGCTGAGGCGGGTGCCAGCGGGATGTTGGCAGGGTAGCCCTCCTCGATGGCTTCAAGCCTTGTGCCCAGCGCGCGTGTGGATGGGCAAAATCCACGGAGCCAGGGGGATGGATGAAACCTTCTTATAACTGGCATAAACCACATATTTGCCAATGAATTGGTGCAGGGTTTTGTCCATCCACAGTATTCATTCCGCAAGTACGGCAAGTAGGAGCACTTGCGAAGGGCAGTTACTGGCTGAGCCTTCGCGATTCTCTGCTTGCACCACTGCTGTCGGTATGGTTAGTATGGTTCCGGTTTGATACTGCCTTCCAAGTCGGAATCAACTTTCTCTCCCCGAACGCCTGAAGGTTCCAGGGTCATGAGTCATCCCCCTCGGATTCAGCCCTCCGTGCAGCCAGTAGTCTGGGCATACACGCCCAAGGGACCATAAAGGTAGAAGGCCCTGGTCCCCACAACCCCAACTTTTTCCATCGCCCGCGGGCGTTGAGCACCCGGAGGTGAGCCAACAAGGCTTGGCGCTCGCAGTGGGGCGCCCGGTCGTGGTCCACAAAGACCGGCACCAGCGCCGCGGAGGATGCCGCCTGCGGGGGGAGGCCCCGCTGGTGCCGAAGGAAAACACGTTGGGATTTGGGACAGGAAACCGTTGCAAGTTTCCACTGGTCCGGAACAGAGCCAGGGCAGAGTGACCAAGGACATCAACAAGAACAGTGATCATATGCATGCTGTGAACCGCAATGAGCCGCCCGCCCAGTTTCCGAAATGCACTTCCAGTTGCCAGGGTCTTCAGAAAGGGGCTTTGACCCTTTTTGGGTTTGACCGCCAGTGGGGACACCAAACCAACGAAGTGAAAGGCCCCACCAAAAACCCGACTCCGCTTGCCTCCAGGTCGGCCCTCCCGTGGTTCCGACTGGCCGTCCCCGTCCCAAAGGATGCCGAGGTCCAGGCGACCAAGTTCTTGGCCGCCGGGTCGCGGCCCGTCGCTCCAGATCCGAAGGTGGCGCGGGCGGCCCGGCGGGAGGCGAAGGTCCAGGGGAAAGCGCCGGAGCCCAAGGCCGAGTATGTGAAATGCTGACCTGGCTGTGGTTGTCAAAACCCTGAAATGGATGTTCATCCACCCCAAAATGGAGCCATAGGTTATGCCCCATGGCCACCTCTACGCGTTGGATTTCGGTGGCAAAATGAAGAAGCAAGTGTTTTGCGAGCGCCTTACATTGCGACAAGCCACAATGGAAGTCGAATTGCTCCACAACTAGTTCGGGCTTTTGGCGATTTAGGCAACTGAACATCTTGGTTACTCGTTGAACAAAACGATGCGGTGAGACCCCTGCAAGGCTGAGTCTCAGTATTTATGCAAAAGGGTAACTACATACATATGTCTTGCATGGACTTGCTCTCGTGGCAAGAAGGGTGCCTATACACAGCAATTTGGAACTCGCCTAGGCTGGACTGCTTCTCCAGGCTCCTCTTGTGTTGCCTCTCAGGGTTGCAACGCTTTAAGCTATTGTTTCAACATCCAGGTCTTTATGCGTCCATGGACAGACCAATTTTTCGCCACCAACGCGCCTCGCATCCACCGAAACCGTGATGAGGCGCCGCAGGGCCCGTGTCGCCGGCGCGCACACCGCCCGACGCAAGGCCAAGACCAAATCCTCAGGCGCGCAGGAGTGGTCCAAGATGCTCTCGAAGGACTCCAGCAGAAAGCCCTCATCTTTGGGCCGTCCATATCCAAGGCCTGCAGGGCGCCAGGAAAGCCCAAAAGATGAGGGGGATTTGATGGAAATTCCTGGGCCATGGAACCCTACCCCACTTTATTGAGAGAGTCCTTCGGCGATACGCAAACCTGCTGTGCATGCCGTGCCTGGCTTTTTTTCCGGGCTGGAATTTGAAGGGAAAGCAGAAGGAAGCCAATCGTAGGGGTCTAAATTGCGGGTTTATCTTGGACCCCCCGGCGCCCTCTTTACCTGTTGCCAAGTTAGGGGCAAAAATCTGCCTCGGAACTATTCTTCGGAACTATCCCAGAAATTTTCGGAACTATCTGGGACATCTATGGAACTATGTTGCGATTTGATTTCAAGATCTGTCAAGCCTGCCACAAGTTCGCTATGTGCCTGATCTTGCGCGCAACTGAGCGGCGTGGGTACTCGTTAAAACGCGGAAGAACCTTCAAGCCCAGGCATATCCACGAGGTGTGCATCGGCGCAGCCTTACAACGCCAATTCAAAACACGTTTTGAAAGCCTAGTAGTATAGCGCCTGCGAAAACAGTTCGGAGCGGTCGGGAGGCTTCCACGTCGTACGCGTTCTACTTCACAAGCTGGCGGAACGGTAGAGACGGTCTGGAACGGTTCCAGAACCCAATCGCTCACAGCCCAAATTCAGTACCAAACGGTGCTGCACTGTTTCCGCGTTTACTACTGATACAACCTGCGACCGTGCAAGTATGGAACCGCTCCGAACCGTTTCGGACCGTTCCGAACCGTTCCGGACCGTTCCGGACCGTTCCGGACAGTTCCGAACCGTTCCGAACCGTTCCAAACCGTTCCAAACCGTTCCAGAACTCCACCGTAATGGCTCCGGAACCGCCCAACAAGTCACTCCGGAACACGCGCGCAGCCTCGGCAAGCAAAGTTGATTATCGGGAAGAGGTGTTAGCAGGGCTTGCCAAAGCTGGCATTGCGCTCACGAGAAGCGCTTGCGCTTTTCGCAATTTTGTTCTAGGAGCGCCCGCTAAATCTCTTGAAAGGGGCACATTCAAAAAAAACACCCCCATCTTTTCTCGAAACTTCACGTCGCCAGCCCAAAACGTGTCACTCGCTTCGCGACAAACAGCCATGGTTGCTCTTATATCTGCGCAAAGGGCTCAACTTTGTCTGTGTTTGTTGCACATGCTGTCTGTTTCCGGATCGGCATCCATGGGGGCTGAGGTAAAGCCAAAGACCGGCTTTGCTGATTTCTACCTGCAGCGTGCAACCACCTGCGGCCAGTTCTTGATGATAACATTGGAACTTGTGCGATATAGTCTGCATCAACAAATTTTCAGGTTGTAGTTCTGAGGATTTTTAATATAGTTCCAAGGATTTGCCTGATAGTTCCCAAGATTGGCTTTCAAAACACGTCAAGAAAAACAGGATCCCCTATATAAAGAAGGTCCCGGGGGGTCTAAGGTTTATCTCACAAACAAAGGGAACCCCCCCCCTAGTTTTTGGGGGTTTCCTTTCTGTTTCCCTTTGGGAACGACCCCACAAAAGGGCTCCTCCCTACACAAAGGACCCCTACATCTGACTTTCCGCTCCTCGCATCTCTGATCGGATCCAGTCCCCCGCGCGGGCCAAGCAGCCCGGCATCCTGAGCGCTCTATTAACCAACGAAGAACTTGGGGGCTGTCAGGGGAAGTCAACCGCCTTTGGGTTTCAGTGATGTTTTGGGGTACCCAAAAATGGACCCTCGGTGCCAAAGGGGGGGTTGTCAATACAAAAGGAGAAGCAGTCCACATTTCCACCCATCGAGGCCTGTTGCTGCCTACAGTCGGGCAGCATATCAGCTTTTGAAGGTTTGAAGAAGGAAACGCCATGAGGTCCCCTAAAGTTGCCATTCTCCATGCTCCAGCACCCAAATGCTGTCTGGGTTATGCTGGAGGCCACGACGCCCAATGGATTTGTCAATGGGAGTCCAGGCCCAGGATCCAACCTCATCTCAGGATTACTTCATATACCAGTGATGGCAACTCTGCTCTATAAAGAGCAATGGATGGAAACCAAATCTAGCCTCAAATTCATACCCCCCCCAAAAAAACAACGGCTCCAAAATATCAATCTTCATGGAGTAACCGAAGGAGACAAGCCTCACATGCAACCTGCTCTTCTGCTTGCCCAACCCCCCAAAAAAACTGCGAGGGGCACCTTTGGACAGTGACATCTCCATCCCTCCACGGCGCCGCAAGGGCCACGTGACACGCGCCAGTTGGTAATATGCACCAAACAAATCGGCCGGCATGCCGGGTGCCAATAAACCAACATGGCGTGAAGGCTTTGATCTGGAGGGCTCAGTGCACATCTGCCGCTACATAAAAGCCAATTTGACTTCGGAGGTGCTGCCAAAGCGCCGGTGGGACCAAACAGGCGAGCAACTGACTCATTTTTTTGTGCAACTGGATCGCCCCAAAGCACGCAAAACATAAACATGAGGGGAGCGAGGAGCAACCAACACAACATCAACCAGAAACTGCTACGCATTCCCCTAACTTGTTGCCATACCTACCAGGGAATACATGCCCCTTGCCTCAGCTGAGACCAAAACTGTGTGGGTCTTCGCCCGTGAGCAAATGATCAAACCCTTTGCAGTTTGAATGGAGCATCTAAAAAGTTCTCAAAAGACCCCAGCACCTTTTGCCGGATCCACCGACAAGGCAAACGACGTTTCAGTGGACCATGCCGCAAAAAGGCAAAAGATGTGACCCGCGGCCTGCTTAAAGGGGCAGGTTGGTAAGTGCTTACCACGGTTATAAGTCTCCTAAGTGGGTTGCAGCCTACCCACGGCTTCCAGGCCGGTCCCCTCCCCTCCAACCCAAGGAGCTGCTGGGCCGCCCCGCTGGCCTCACTGGCCTGCAGAAGGCTCCGCAAGCTCAGGGAGTCCACGGAGAGGTCGCCCTGGCCGAAGCGGAGCATAGGATATGGAAAAAACTGATGGTAGATGGCATCTAAACCAGTGACACCTGTTTCTATCTAAACAAACCCAAGGACAACTAAGCGGACAGCGAACTGAGCACGCGTCGCGAGCTTTCCTTGAGCGGGCACCGAACAAATGGTTCTGCGGCACGCTTATTCACTATCTTGGAAGGGCAAAAACAACCTACAACAGAGGTGGCATGTACAACTTCTCACCGATGTTGTTTTAGGTGGGCGCCCAAAGGCTCATTTCTCCAATCCCGAACGAAGATGAGGGGGTAACCCTTAAAGTTCCATGGCCGAAACTGGTTGGCACTCAGTGACCCCGGTAGAAAAAAAGGGGTCCTCCCTTTTGAGGTCGATTCCAGTTGAGTATAAAAGGAGGGTGCCTCTGACCAACTGGGTCTTTGAATTGGACAAACCACTTGTCCTTCAAAGTGCATCATGCAAATGCAAGATGTCGACTACTTCAAGCCTGTTTTGACCACCTGTCATTTTCCATCCTTTGGAAGCCGTGCCACCCTCTGCCGAAGCACTGGGCGTGATATTTCTAAAACCCCCACCTCGACCAAGCGCAGCAGGAGCAGCGACTGTGCCCAGCTCTCCGAGCGATCCAGGCCGTCCAGCACGGCGTTGCACCTTGCATCTTGGAACCGTGTGCAAGCCATGCTGAGTTGACCAGCCGGAAACGATCCAACCTTTTTGGGCACTGACCAACATGACGACACAACTTACCAACACAAAGTTTACACTGGAGGGCGCTAACTTGACAGGTGAGCAAGGATTTGGGCGGCCCAGGCTTCAAAAGTGAAGACTGTCGGGCCTTCCAGGCAATCCGAAATATCATGTGCAAGATGCAAAAACCAATCCACAAATTCGCTCAAAAGCTGGCCGCTTCCTCCCAAATCCGCCCCCGCTAGCAAATTGACGGCTGACCATCAAAAGGTTCTGTTACAAATGGATCGGCTTTGCGGGCTCAGAAACCCGCCAACTAACATGCAACTCACCAGCGGGTGGCTTTTAGGAATATGGTCTTGCAGACCTCCCCCCCCCCCACCTCCAGGCTTAGTTGGGTCCCCTTTTTTTTTTCCCTCTGGAAACGTGCAACTTGCCGGCGCCATTCAGCCCCTCGATTTTCCTCCCGTTTTTGCTTGGCTTTCTAGGGCGCATGGTCAAACTGGGCTCCATCCTTCGCAGCTTCGTCAGCTGCAGCACTTCCACCGCCCTGCTCCAGGCGCCGCCCTTGCCGCAGGCGCTGGCGCCCATGCCGAGACCAAACAAATCCGGCGCCATGTCAGTGGCTGGCCTCGGTGGCTCGAACTCACTTGTGTTGATGGGCCGAAAACCGCCAAACTTGTTGGCCACTAGAACGGCTTCCCAGAAAGTTTAAAGTCCAGGAACTCAGGAAGTAAGCGAAGGACCTGCGAATAAACTCACTTGCCTCAAAAGGCCTGGTACTGAAAGGTGGGTCTTCTTGGGAAGACTGGCCTAGTTTCGGGTGCATTATGTGGGCCATGTTTGGCCTGCGAAACCGCAGGTGGAGCGGGGGAGGAACCCAAAGTCCGCCCCAACAGGAAAGATCAGACATTGTTTTTAGGGGTTTCTCAGAAGGGCGGCGTCTGGCTTGAAGACCGCTAGCTTAGTCTCAAGGAGCCCCCCCCCCAGCAAAATGAGGCCCCCTCTTTGCATATTCGTGGGGCAATCTTCGTTCAAGCAGATTGAAGGTCAACCTGGAGCCACGGTGACATGTGTTTTCGAGCCATGCTTTTCGGCTCAATGCTTCGAACATGCTTCGAACAGCGCGGGATCCTCGAAAAACAGGGCAGTTTGTTGTTCAATCTGTTCGGGGGAAGGCGAGAAGTTGCATTCTTTGACTTGCTTTTATTGCGCTCGTTTGTGAATATGTGCGCTCGTGTGTATATATCTGCGCTCGCGCTCGCGTTACACTTCGATTTCTGCGGCTTTTTTCAACCAACGTCATGTTGAGGATAAATCCAACGGTATGCAGAAACTGCTCGAAACGCATATCTCTTATCGTTTCCTGAAAAAGGCATGACACCGAAAGTTAGGGAACAAATCAACAAAACAAACAAAACATACACAGTTGTGCTTCAAAGCGAGCTTCAGGAGAAGCTTGGGCACTGATGAGCCCTGAACAGGTTTACTGCAAATCTGGCTGAACCCAAAGGTAAGAAGGGCTGCGGATAACAAACAGTCTTTGTTTTTGGGGGTTTCTCTTTTCGTAGAGGGGCTGCCGGAAACAAACATGAAACCTAAAGGAAACCACAAGAGAAACCAACATAGCAAGAAACCAAATTTGGAAACAAAACGAACCGCAAAATCAAAGGTACAACGAGCAGCAACTGCCCGTCAATCATTGCCCCTTGGGGGCTACCAAATTCAAAAAGAAAACAAGCCGGAAATGTCAATGGCCTTGCGGCAGCTGAGCGTCGCTCGGCACATCTCAAGCACCTGGCGCCAGCGCACCGCATCCTCCTCGCCATCCAGCGCTGACATGGCTGCACCAAGCATGGGCCTAAGACGCAATCTCTATGTTCGGGTTGCCGGATTTGTCTTCAGTGGGTTTCGCGGGGGAAAACGTGGCTTGGGAAAACACGGGAGAGAGGGTTAACGTGTGGAAGACCTTGGGACATCTCTATGTCGATGTTTCCCGATGGGCCCGTTTCTTCGACTCCTGGGCTTTTGGGGGGCTGTATAAACCAAAAGGCAACATGACATAGAGGTCAAACAACAGGTTTCTGCCTTCTTTGGTGCGGGTTTTGTTTGTGGACAACCCTGGGTGTCCTTCTCAAAACTGATAGCGCTCCGCCATAGAAGCCAGGCCGCACCCAGGGCAATCTATCAAAGCTGGCAGAAAAGTTGACCCACCAAAACAAATGACAAAGAGCAGAATCCACCTGAGCAACAATAACAAAAACACCTTAAACTAACGAACATCAGACAATTGTAGAATCAGGAAACCCAGGTCTGGCTTTCTTCCGGGTCCACCCCATACCTCGCTCCTCGCTCCGGGCGTCTGCCTGCGTCGCTTTTCTGGGCCTGGGGCCCCTGGCATCGTTGCCAGGCCGCGGGCGGCGAAGGTCGCCAGCTGCGCCAGGCCTTGGCTCCACTGGCGGCACCCGCCCGCCGCGCTGAGCGCCGCCCCGGCGCAGGGCGCCGTGGCCTGGCATCGATCCAGCGGACCCCGAGCCACGGGGAACCGAGAAATTCGTTTCTTCTGAGAAGCCTTCTTTTTGTGTGGCTGGATTCAGGTGGAAGCATGTCTATCTGTATTTTTGGGCTGGACCCAGCTAAAATCTGAAGCTTTGGCTTGTTTTCTTTTCATGTGGCTGGATCCAGGTTTATCCGACTTAGGCCCTTAAATTGTGTTCCGAGCAGTTCCGTAAGGCGAATCCAATGCCTTGCGCCTGGGGCGGGGCGGTCTGGACTCCCCAAAGTCCCAAGCACCCCACACTGTGACTGACAAATGTGGTGGCAACACGAGCCTGAGAAACGCCAAGTCTTTGCCTTTCTGGGTAACTTCGAAAACAAACCAAAAGGGGCCCCCTGGTCTTGACACATACTCAATTGCAGGGAAATGGACTCTAGCACATCGCGGCACGCAGGGAGCAACTGCGTTGTTGTACCTGTTGAATTGCACCGACCTAATTCCCCCGCCCAGTGGGAGTCCACACCGCAGCTTCCCACTTCGAACACTTTCCAGCCCCAAGAAAAGCATTCCGACCCCCAGACCAAGCCGCCCATTTCCAGGACTGTCCAGAGAACTCTCCTCTCCCCGGCCTGCAGCTGAGCGCGGCGGATGGCTCCCAGCAGGTTTGAGGCCTTCGCCCAGATGCCTCTCATGGCGTTGGCGCAGGCGCCCCAGGTGATGATGTTGGGGGCAGTGCCCGACCAGGAGGCGAAGCCTCACTCTGGGTGCAGAACAAAAAGAGTCTGGAAAAAGGGTGGGGGAATTTCACATCCACTTTTGGTTCCAATTTGGGACAGTTTGCAGGCTGGCCCATGTGGCATGTGCGGCTTGCCCAAGGCTCTTTGAAGCCGCAAAAAGCTGAGGTTACAAGCTGGGGCACGGGGCAAACCAAAACCCACGCTTCCCAAAACTCTTTTTGGAACGCTGGTTCCTCCACCGTTGCATACGGCATGCTTTGTTTAGGCAGCTGCAAGTGGCAACCAGCAAGCCACGTGAGAATTCAAATCGCCCATCCAAAGCTTCAGCAAAGGACCACTTTGGATGGTTTCAAGGGCAACCTGCCAATGGTATTCGAGGGTCTTCAATTGGTGAGCTCGCCTTAGGGCCCATCCTTCGCATCCTTTTTGGGTCGGAAGCCAGAAAGCGGGCCAAACGACAAGCTGGAGGAACCTCTAGTGAACTTTGGTTGCTTCCTTTGTTTTGTTGGAGGGGGCTTTGCGGTAAAATCAACTACCCGCCCTCCCACTAACATGGCACCTGCCGGTCCAAAAACATACACATTGCCCCCTCTCAACTTAATTTGGTTTCAAGGCACCCTACCCCGTTCTCATGCCCTTAGTGACACTGGTCGGACAAGGGCGCCCATTTGGCAGGTTGCTGGTGGGGAACCCACCCAGAGAAAGCAAGGCGAAGCCACTGAGAAAGTGAGTTCTTGCTTCAGAGCTGCTGAGGCAATGCAGCGCGTCCGGCCACAGGTGCGAAGAGCCCAGGACATTGGTGCAGGAGCCGTAGGTGACATGCCCAGGCTCCAGTTTTAGGCGCCGCATCTGGGAGAGCAGGGCCCAAGATAAGCTGGCGTTGCCGCCTGGGCTGCTCCAGCCAAACAAAGAACGATCGGGACAGGGGTAGAACATCGGCCCCCAAGGAAAGGACATACCAACTTTCACAATTTCTGTGGCTTGATCAGTAGGTTTGGGGCTTTTTCCCACCGCATCGGGAGCAAGGGTCCGATTGCGCACGGCGCCTCTAAGCTTCTAAAGGCTTCACGCCTGTAAGCTTTACAACGAGGGGCACGCCTCTAAGCCTCTAAGCTTCTAAGCTCCAACAAACTGAAGCTGGGCGGGCGCGCCTCTAAGCCTCTAAGCTTCTAAGCTTCTAAGCTCCAACAAACTGAAGCTGGGCGGGCGCGCCTCTAAGCCTCTAAGCTTCTAAGCCTCTATCTGTGGGTAGCTGCGCGCACTCGCTTCTAAGCCTCTAGACGTTTACCAGCTTCTTTACATGCCGCGGCTTGCTTACTCCGCAAGGTCAGCAACGCGTCTAAGCCTCTTCGCGCCTCCAAGCCTCTTTACGCCTCTAAGCCTCTTTACGCCCGTAAGCCTCTTTACGCCCTTAAGCCTCTTTACGCCTGTAAGCCTCTTTACGCCCGTAAGCCTCTTTACGCCCGTAAGTCTCTTTACGCCTCTAAGCCTCTTTACGCCTCTAAGCCTCTTTACGCCTCCAAGTCTCACTGCGCCTCTAAGCCTCTTTACGCCTCTAAGCTTCTTCACGCTTCTGTGATCGAACGCTTCAAGCTTCTTGACGCCTCTAAGCCTCTTTTCGTCTCTACACTTCTCTATGCGTCGAAGTTACTCTTACGCTGCCAATGTCTGTCACCAGTGAACATAAAGCATGAATTTAACAAGCAACAAGGGTTTTGCAAGATCGACGCAGCCAAAAACATGGCACAAGAGAGATAGAGAGATAGAGAGATAGAGAGAGAGAGAGAGAGAGCGCGAGAGAGAGACAAAGAGACAGAGAGACAGAGAGACAGAATCTTGGCTGGAAAAGATATCCCCGCAGGGATGACACGCTGCGCTCCGCATGACGGAGGAAAGCTTCTATCATGCAGCGGTGAGGCTCCATTGGGGAAGTACAGGATGCCGTCCCAGGTTCCTCACGATGACATGCGCTTGAGAGCGTGCCCCATGTTGGGGTGTCTCAAAATATCCGTGAACCTGAAAGGGACGGCTTCGCTCCCCTTTTTGGACGGTCCCCAGTCCAAGACCCCCCCTCCACCAAACAATATACCAAAGTTGGAGACTCCCCACTTTGGATGCGAGAGAAGCCCAGGGCCAATTGAGCTCACAATCCTTGAGCTCACAATCCTTGATTTTCGCGAACCCAACTTCCATGGAGGAGCCGGAAACCTTGGAACTAAAGAAATTTGGCAGAGCTCGCTTGCGTCTGTGTCAGGGTTGTGTGTGTGGGGGTGGGTTTACAGCAAAAGGAAAGCCACGCATCCGGGAAACCACGATGTCCTAATTGTCGCCCAGTTGTCCTTCAATTCTCAAGCGCCCGAGCCAAGGAACCACAGTGTCCCATTCGTCTCCAGTCACAGGGAAAGTTCAACCAAACCAGCAAGATCTTGATTCTGAACATGTTTTGTCTGGACGCAAACGGGGTTCACAGAGGTCAGCGGGTCAGAAATGCTGTTGGGGTTATTGGAGAAAGCTTTGGAGAAGATCCCAACGCCAGCCTCCGCCGAATTCGTGGCTTAAAGAATTTAATTTCGTCATTCTTGTAGAGGATAAATGGACCCCCCCCCCGAACCAGCAAACTCCGGACTCCAAATCATCAATTGGAGGAAACCTGACATATCCCTTCCAGTTGAATTTCCCCTCCTAAGAAAAGCATAAACATATTTCCAGTAGTGATAGATTCCCTTTAAGACCAAACAAGGAATATATAACATCTTCTAATCAAATGGAGGTACCCCAGTCTCCTTTCGCCTTCTCCTCTTTGGCCTTGGCTTTCGCGGCTGCCTTTGGCTCCGGTCCTGAGTTAAAAGGCGAAGGGCCCCAGATCTGCGCGGCGGAGAAAACATCTGTGGATTCCATCGCTTTTCAACCGCTGACCTAAGATCACCCCCTTTGTCCATGTTCGTTGCGAGCAGGACCAGCAGCTTTGAACCAGTCCGGAGCCGAAATATAGGCGGCCCTAAAAGGCTTTCAGCTGGAGAGCAAGAAACATTCAACCCATACCTCTTAAATAAAACAAACAACACCAATACAAACAAACAAGCAAACAAAACAAACAAAACAAGCGAAAAGAAACAAAACACCGACCGAACAAAGCCACCCCATCCCCGCCTTGCCAGGTGAGGAACGTCCCTACTGCGCCCTTCAAGTGCTTCAGTTCCGCCGGCTGCGCTGAGAGCACCTGGCGAGCGACATGATGCTGCGGCAGACCCAAGCAAGGATAGCCTCCGTAACGAGCAACACATGATGGTGCCTTTTTGTTTGAGGGTTCCCTGCTTTTGGTGTTGAAGGGAAACTAAAAGGAAACCAATCGTTTTGTGGGTCCCCTAAAGATTGACTGACCTGCTGGCTACGCGCAGCACCGGCATTGCAGGGGCAATCTGTCAGCCCAGATTCATGGGGTGTGCGGATCTCGTGACTTGCAGCGCTACCTCGCAACTGACGACTCTGTTTCTCGGACACCCTGCCGCAACGTTGCATGGGACAAGCAAAGAATCTGCTACCAAGCATCAAATTCCAAATAGGTCGGTGTTCTCTTGAGGGTACCCGTTTCAAAGGTTGGGTTCAAGGGAAAACCAAACGGACCATCACCACGTTTACCTTGGTGGGGCCGGTGTGTCTGGCCTAGCACACGACAGGCGCCTCAAAAATGACAGTTGCCTCATGCATTCTTGCGACGGGCCACGAATGGAAAACGACGAAGAACACGAACGCTGAAGATATATGTCCTCCCTGCACCCCTCTTTCATTTTCAGCCCGTGCGTGCCGGCGTCTCTAGAGCCCCAGACAACCCTCCTGACAGAGCTGCACTCTGACGGTCTGGCCAATCTAGCTCCTAGCGCCCTGGGTGTCTTGGACTCGAAGCCACATCGACATGTGAAAAGATGGTTCTTGAGTCACGGTCACAGATGGTCACTGAAGTCAACTCCTACGGCTTTCCTTGCGGCTCCAAACCACTCAGGGCTGTCATGCTACTTCTGGGTTTTCAAAGCAGTCAAGAGCAAGCCTAAGGCGCTTCCGTTCGCGTTCTGCACTGACCGACTCAGTCACATCAGACAAAGATGCTCTCTTCCAAAACTTCATCTTGCGCCCTCTAGACTTCTGGTCCGGGGGGGCGCGGATCTCCTTGAGCAGCCCAGCCTCCACCAGCTCTGAAGCCACGGCAAGGATCTTCTCTTCGCTCTTCACGGCCGAGAAGGTACTCTTGTTCCTGATCTTCATCCGGACATCCTTTTGCGTAAAGGTCTCAGCAGTCCATCCTGCCGAAGTCAACAGCTCGATCTTCAGCAGGTCCTCTGGCGACAGCACCTCTGCAGCGCTGCTCTGATGACCCTTCAAGTCCACGTCTTGCGGGGCGCCTTTGCCGTTCCTCCTGTCAAGCGCAGCAGGCAGCAAGGTGGTGCGCCAGTACCGCAAGTACCCGAAGTGCAGAGATATCTGCCGCAGCCAAAAGTGCACAGCCATGATGAGCTCTCGCATATTCGGACTTGTCCGTGTGGGCGCAGGCCTGGCTGGGAAGCGCGGCCACACTCGACTGCTCAGTCCCTGGGGAGGTGACACGCAACTCCTTTAAGAAGATCAAAACGTTGGAGCAAACTATATATGCCAAGCTGCGGCTCGTCTCCCTCCGCGCAGTGTCGCAAGCCCTCAAAGTACTGAACCTTCCTCATGCACAAAAGGGCGCTCCTCAGAACGTCAGTGTGAAAGAAGTCCAGCTTGTACCTGTGAAACTTCGTAAACTCCTCGTCGCCCTTGTGCACCTTGATCCAATCTTGCACGGCATCTCGCAAATGGTTGTAGACGTCAAGGGCCACGCCGTCAATGACTACCTTGCCGATGTCAACGGGAGTGACATGCTTGAAAAGCCACCGGTGGAAGCTGCTCACGAGACCGTCAGATGCCTGTATTGACAGATGCTCACACGCCGGCAGATCATCAGGCGTCCACGCCACCGACATCCTCTTCTGGAACGCGTGTTGCAGAGGAAACATCACCTCCTCCACCACTTCCGCCTGTCCTGTGACTTTGAAGCCCACGACGTACATCAAGTCCTGGTACCCCAGATGAGTGTTCTCCACCCCTGACGACATGTCATCTGGTTCGCTCAACAAATAATTGTTGAGCTTCCCCTTGTCCGCCCAGTGGCGCACCACTGAAGGGTCAGCAAACGATGTCTTGAACACGTTCACTGCCTCGTCGCTGTGCAAACATGCCCTCTGGTAGTTCCGGAGGCACAGCCGGAACCCCTTCGCTGTTGCTTCTTGCACAAAGCATTTGCGCTTCTTGATTGCATAGATGCCAGCGCCAGGGCGGGAGCCGCCACTGGCATCCTCCTCTTCTTCTTCGCCACCACCGTAGTCATCCACCACAGCAGCTTGTCTCTTCTCTCTTCGCCTGCGCGCTTGCCGCTCCACCGCCGGCTCATCTGGGGCTGCTTCCACAAGCCAAGCATCTGTCCGCTGCACCAGATGCGATTTCCGAGCTGATGGCGACAGCCCGATCAAAGCCGCGACACATGGATTCACACCCACGTGCTTGGAGTCTGGCCGATGCAGGATCCGGGTCTTCTCGTTCCTTACATGCTTTCGAGGAAAGGATTGATAGCCATCAGCTAGAAAGCAAAAAAATGGATATGAGAGTTGGGTATGAAACGATGCTGCGCTCAATCTAGAATCTCTAAAAAGCTGAGCTGTGCCTCCGTGGCCAAGAACAAGGCCTCTGGAAACATGCGCTCTTTCTCCGCAATCTGCTTGATGGCTTTCTGCCACGGCAGAGGCGCGAGCTTGAAGAAGTCAAAGCTGGGGTCCAACACGCGGTCGTGATGAGTTTCCGTAGTCCCGAGCGCCTC